ACAACTATCCGTAACTCCAGTTCCAGGGGATCCAACAGCCTCTTCTATCCTCCATGGGCATTGCACGATACGGGTACACTTACTTACATGTAGGCAATACACACACATAAAATAAAAATAACAAATAAAATTGTGTGTGTGTGTGTGTGTGTGTGTATGAATGCGTTGTCTGCATATGTGTAAGTGCACCATGTGTGCCTGAAGAGGCCAGAAGAGGGCATCAGATCCTCTGGAACTGAAGTTATGGGTGGTTGTTAGCCACCATGTGGGTGCTGGGAAAGGAACCTGAGTCCTTTGCAAGAGCAGTCAGTGGTTCAATCTCAGTGCCATCCAGGGTGAGCCAGCTCCTGCACACTGAGGACATGAGGCATCTCTCCAGCCCAACTACAAGTTTTTAAAACAATGACTCAGTGGTACAGAAGCAGTTGGGTGGGTGGTATGGCCTGTGAGTGGCCATGTGGCATCTGGCACCGCCAGGATCTGGCAGCCACCAGGCTCCTGTTAGCAGACACTCAGGAGAAGCCAGGGACAGTCTCACGGGACCAGCAGCAAGAAAGGCTGCAAAGAAGACAGTAGACCCGGAGGGCACACTCCTCCAATGGGGTACGGGGCCTCAGGATGCCACAAAATGTCTTTATGTCCCCCCTGAACTTGAGCAACTTAATGCAATTCTAACTATTCAACTGAGAGGTTTCATTGCTGGAGCAGGTCTGAAAAACCAACAGGATGCCTTGTCCTCAGTATGTAGGAGCTGGCTCACCCTGGATGGTGAGATTGAATCACTGTTAAATCTGCAGGAATTTTGTACACTGGCTGTGCATGGCTGGTATGACTTTTCAATTAGATAAATTCTATTAAAAACTCAGAACACAGTAGTTGGGCACAGCCACCCTACAACGGGGCACCACCTCTTGTCTCTTGCAATTCTTTGTTCCCCCGACATCAGGCTGGTAGTTTGCAATTGGCCTCGGTGGATTATTGACACTGTGGAAATGGGCAGACGTAACCAAACCAGCGTTGAGTGGATGATGTCAAGAAAAGAATTTTTTTTTTTTGGTCTTTTTGAGACAGGGTCTCCCTGTAGCCCCAGCTGTCCTGAAACTCACTATGTAGACCAGGCTGGCCTTGAACTCAAAGAGATCTGCTTGCCTCTGCCTCCTGAGTGCTGGGATTAAAGGCGTGTGCCACCACGCTCGGCTAAGAATCCTTTTTTTTTTTTCTTAAATGTGCATGAGTATAAATTGACTGACTGTGTGTTAAGTGCACCCATGTCATGCAGTGCTCAAAAAGGATAGAAGAAGGTGTTGGATCCCCTGGAACTGGAGTTTTGGACAGTTGTTAGCTGCCATGTGGGTACTGAGAATTGAATCTGGGTCCTCTGCAAGAGCAGCCAGTGCTCTTAACAGCCAAGTCATCTCTCCCGTCTCAAGAACAGAATACTTGTAAGATTCTGTCTTGATTGTCAACAGCTGCTGTGGCTCCAGCCATTGCGCCCACATTCCAGATGGGAGAAAGGAGGCGGGAGAACAGGAGAAGAGTGTTAGCTCGCTGTCTTTTTACAAGGGGAAACTAGAAACATCCATGGAATTCCCTAACCATTCCTGGAACCGTGTCAAGTGACCATGCCAAGCTGCTAAGGAGCCTGGGAAATTGTTTTGATTTCCAGTCCAAGTCTGGGGAGACATAGCGAGCCAGTCTCTAAGGGGTGCTCTAGCCCCGGCTAGCTGTGATACCAGCCACTCGGGGATGCCATGGTGACACAGGCTGGGCTGGAATCCCAGCGAACAGTGCTTACCTGTGCTTTAAAACATGACCCGACATTTCCTGGTTCCACCAATCAGGCCGTATATGGCCTGATGTATATGGCACATTATTGGTGGGTTGCAAGCCAGGGAGTGCCTTCATCATCTGATGGGGTAACACATGACCTCACTTGGAGCTTACTCCTAAAAAAAAAAAAGTGTTCACAGGGGCTGAGTGACCAGGATCATGAGAAATGACCATGCTGTCTCTCAACAGGTGTAAAGGGTTTATGTGGCTTTCATCTCCCAGCATCAGGGAGCCCAACACAGGAGCTCAAGGCAGGAACCTGGAGGCAGGAGCTGGCACAGCCGTGGAGGAGCGCTGCTTACTGGCTGCTCCCCTGGCCTGTGCTCAACATGCTTTCTTATACAATATGGGACCACCTGCCCCGGGGTGGCACCGCCCACAGTGGGCTGGGCCCTCCCACCTCCCACCTCCCACCTCCCTCAATCACCAAGAAAATACTGCACAGACATGACCACAGGCCAGTCCCCTGGAGGGAATTCCCCACTTGAGGCTCCCTTTACCGAGGTGGGTCAAGTTGGCAACCAAAGCTATCCAGCACAGTAACGATCCATTCAAACACTCAGTAGGACTGTGCAAATGTAGACACTGTCCACCAAGGAACCAGGAGGCCATAAGCCTAATCAATGGACACCACCTCCAGCCTGGCCGTTCATCCCACCGTGACTTGAGTCTTCCCTTGTTAGCACCAACAGCAAAGTCCAACTGTCATTTCCTGAAGCCCGTTTTCATGAGCAAGAGCTCTCTACTCTTGAGCCACACTCCTGTCCCTCACTGAGGAGATTCTAGGCTGTCACTCTACCCTGAGCCACGCCCCCAGCCCCTCACTGGGGATTCTGGGCTGTCACTCTACCCTGAGCCACGCCCCCAGCCCCTCACTGGGGATTCTGGGCTGTCACTCTACCCTGAGCTTCCGTCATACTGGGGACCAGGACCTTGTTTTCATACTCTGGCTACAGGTCAGGTATTTGTTGCAATCTTAGGAGCAAGCATGTGGGACATGGATACACACTGGGACTTAGTCTGTCTTCACCAAAAACTCTGTCTCGCTCCTCTTCCCATCCCTGTGAATGGGACTTTGTGACAGAATACCCTGAGCCACGCCCCCAGCCCCTCACAGGGGATTCTGGGCTGTCACTCTACCCTGAGCCACGCCCCCAGCCCCTCACTGGGGATTCTGGGCTGTCACTCTACCCTGAGCTTCCGTCATACTGGGGACCAGGACCTTGTTTTCATACTCTGGCTACAGGTCAGGTATTTGTTGCAATCTTAGGAGCAAGCATGTGGGACATGGATACACACTGGGACTTAGTCTGTCTTCACCAAAAACTCTGTCTCGCTCCTCTTCCCATCCCTGTGAATGGGACTTTGTGACAGAAAGAAAGCTTAGGGAGGGAGATGCTGAGATGGGGGTTGGTCTGGTTTGTCTGGGATGACCTTGAACACATGACAAGTTTCCTTACATAAGACAGAGGAGATGTGGCCATGGCAGACCGTCAGGGGCTGGAGCAACATGGCCATAAGCCAAGGAATGTTGGCGCTCATGGGCCTAGACTTTTGGAAGAACCCTCTGTTGTAGCCTTGGAGGGATGGGGCCTGTGCACATCTTGGTCTTCTGGCCTCCAGCTCCATGGGGAGAATTCTGTGTCATCTCAGGCCCTGGTTTGTGCCACTGGGTCCCCAGCAGGACAAATATAAGAGGAAACAGAGGCCAAGCATGGGGGTGTGTGCCTTTAATCTCAGCACTGGGGAGACAGAGGCAGGCAGACCTCTGAGACTGAGGCTAGCCTGGTCTACATAGTAAGTCCCAGGCCAGCTGGGGCTACAGAGAGACCCTGTCTCAAAAAAGACCAAAAAAAAAAAAAAAAAAACGGCAAGCTGACATAGCTGGGGGGCCAGTATGCCTGCTGGGAGGGATGGGCCACACGCTGTGTGGTGGCCACAGGGTTCTGTGCTATGGATATGGCTGGGTGGGAGGGCTTTGGTTTCCTCTTCACTCAGCTGCTGGCTGTGGGGGAATGTTCGTCATGGTGGGGGCTGTTTGTTTTGCAGGCACAGGTGGGTTCCACTTGGGCATTACAAAGGGACACGTCTCCTGGATGGAACTGAATCCAAAACAAGTTCTGCCTCCCTGGCCACCCGGTCTCCATGCCAACTACCCAGAACGAACGGCCCATGTGCAAATAAAACTTTACAGAGAAACTGGGCCAAGGGCCAGGTTTGGCCAAAGGCTCAAGGTCACACATCTGAGCACAGGGAAGTTTCTGCCTCACTGCCCAGGCCTGGCACAGCTCCACACCCAGGGCTCTGTGACCATTCAGCTCACCCATCTCTACCCATCTATCATCGTTCAGAGTGCAGGTCTCCCCTTTCCTCTCTGGTCTCCCCAAAGCCTGGCACTCAGCAGATGGCAACAACCTGCCCCAAGCATCTTTGTACTTAAGGGTGACATTTCTGAGAGAAACAGAAAGCCATGGCCACAGGCCCCACTTAGATAGTGCAACTCCTGCCCTGAACCCACCCCACCCCACAGAAACCAGAGAGTGCTCATGAGCACCAGAAGCTCCCTTTGCACAGGGTCCTCTGTAGTTTCTTCCTCCCTCAGGGTCAAAGCCCAAGTCCTCACTACAGCCCACTGGGCCCTGCCCCATTCCTTCACTGCCCCTCGCTCCTTCTGCTCCAGCCACAGGGTCTAGCTGCTCCTACAACACACCAGGCTCCATCCTTTCCTGGGACCTTTGCACAGTCATGTCCTCTGCCCCAGGGCCTTTGCACTGCAGTGTCCTCTGCCTCTGAAACTTTACACACCTATGTCCTTTGCCCAGGACTCCTGAGGCTCTGACAGCGCAGCTGGACGTGATGGACTCTACCAAGGGGAGATTGGGCTGTGAACCCCAGTTGTCCTACAGGGATACATGCCATCTCAGCCCTGTGACACCTAAGTGACAGCCTAGAATCCCCAGTGAGGGGCTGGGGGGCGTGGCTCAGGGTAGAGTGACAGCCTAGAATCCAGTGAGGGGCTGGGGACGTGGCTCAGGGGTAGGTGAGACAGAGGTTTGGGGGAACTCTATGTTCCCACCTCACCAGTCTTAATATCCAGACCAGAGAGACACACACCCCCAAGCCCAGCCCAGCCTAGGCCTGGCCAGAAATGAAGACGCGTCCACTGCTACTTGTGGGAATCAGAAGTGCTCAAGAGCTTTTAATTCATCCTGAACCCAGAGGCAGGGAAATGAGGCAAAAATACGGCTCGCCCTTTATCTGGGGTGGGGAAAAGTCGGGAGCCTGGGGAGGGGATTGTTGGTTTTTTTGTTTTTGTTTTTTTTTTGCACAAAGTAAGACACAGCCATCTCTGTGGGGAACATGTGTGCCTGGTCTGCACAGCCATGAAAACCCACAAGGGTTGTGACCCCAGAGACCTGTGGCCGGCCTTCTGCGTCCAGGCCCCAGTTGGATCCTTTTTACTCTCTTTACAATATAAATAGTATTTCAACTACACACAGCAGCCAGGCACTGCACAGGCTCCTGTAAGCCCCCACTGTCCATCTCCTTCCGTACACAGGTCAGTGCCGTCCTAGGGATCAACGCTGGGACATTGGTGGCTTCTGGAGGGGCAGTGCAGACCAAGGGCCGCAGCAGCCACCAGCCTGTGAAGTCTGTGTCCTACGTCACCCGCATACATGGCTGGTGTCCCAGTGGGCCACAGATGAAGGACACCAGGCCAAGTCTGTGGGGCATGGCTAACTGGGGATCTGGTCATCCCGGGGTCCTCTGCGCCAGCTTGGAGCAGATGGCCAGGCACCACAGAGCCATGGGGACACATGCCCAGTCCGAGAGTCTGTGCAGGAGGCTTCTGCCACCGGGCACTGGGTGCCACCAAGGTATCAGGCCACCTCCAGGCCTGAGCATGTGGCCCATGGGGAGCCAGTGTCACCTGTGGTGGCTGCATCCCCCCAAGAGGCTATGTGTCCCCTGTGCAATGCACCTGCAAGAGCATCTCCTGCCAGCTTGGTGGACAAAGGAGATTTGCAAACAGCAAACAATGTATCTTTTCGTCTCCCCATGTCCATCCTGGTTCTGAAAATAAAGAACCTGTTCGTTTTGTACTGTTTTGTTGGTTTTTAAAGCCACAAATCTAGAAAACAGGTTGAGGGGGGCTGTGCCCATGTCCTCGGCTGGCATCTGTCTTGGGAGGTTCAGGGGATGCCCCGTAGCACCTTTTGGAGAAGATAGGAGTTGGGCCGAGTCGGCATGCCGGGTCAGGGCACAGCCCTACTCCCTGAGTCCGGGCCACATCCGGTCCTGCTGTCCAGGGTGTCCCGGTGCAGATAGGAGTCTAGAAGGCTCCGGGCCGGGCCTGCCCCTGCAGGAGGCTCTCCACAAAAGCCAGGTATTCTGGGTTGTGTGCTGTGTCCTCAGCGGTGGCAGTGGTGGTGATGGTTGGGGCAATGGCCACCCGCGGGCGCTTGGCTGCCTTCACATCCTCCCCTGAGAAGCTGGGCTCCTGTGGCGCACCAGTGCTCAGTGACTGTGGACGGTGGAGACAGGTCAGACTGTCGCCCTGACAAGTTTCTGAGGACTGCACCTGACACCCAGCAGACTGGCACCCAGGGCCTGTCACTCACCTGCCCCCCACCCGTCGCCAGGACCCCTGCTATCCATCCCAGGACATCTGGCCTCTGGCTGAGTAGAAGGAAGCAAGGTCTGGATGACAGGGGTTGGTGTGCAGGGTGTCCTCATGGCTAAAGGGAACGGCACTACGTCCACTCACCAACCGAGACCGCACCCTCTTAGGTAGTTCCTCATCCAGGGTGAAGATGTCCCCACGTTTCACAGTCAGTTGTGAGCCATCCTCGAACTCCACCTGCAGAGAGACGGCTCTCAGGACAGGCCCCAGGACACCACATGGCCCTGGGCTGCCCACAGCCCCTCCCAGGTCCAGGCTGGAGAAGAGGGTCTGAGCAGGTTACAGACATGGACACCAGCCACTTCCAGATTCAGTGGGCAGAAAGCTTGGGGTTCCAGGGATGCCCCCACAGACCCCAAGTAAGTTCACGGCCCACTTTCTTCAATCCAGTGTCTTGTGTGCCCCAGACAGCTCCCTGTTCCAGATAGGGATGAGGAGCTGGGGACCTAGGTCCCCGTGTGTGGCTGGCCACCCACTTCCCGTGAAGTCCCCAAGGCATGGAGTGGATGGCCTGACTGGGAACAAAACCAGGGCATCCAATCTGGCCTTAAGGGGGTTGGGGTACACCTCGGCTACAAAGATGTACCCAGCATGCCCTGGGCCTGGGCCCCACCCCAGCAGAGAGAGAAAGAGGGAGGGGGTGGATCTACAGGGAGGCCAGCTGACCAGGGCAGCCTCCTTGGCCTTCGGTCTTCTGGGCATGTGTGCCCGGCTGTCCGCAGTGACCAAGCACCCAGGCATCAGCACCAGACATCAGCACACAGCGGCCCTCCAGCCTCGCTCACCTGGTAAATGTGGTTGGTAGCAGACGAGATGAACCTGGCCTTGTACAGGTTACCGTCGGTCCACCGCAGCTCCACAAGCTCACCCTCGAGCGGTGGCCCAAGCCGGATGCAGTCTCTGCTCTGTGGGATGGAGGGAGGGAGGGAAGGGGTGATGCTAGCTGTGGACCCCAGCCCAGCCCAGCCCAGCCCTCACCTGCTGCTCCCCCTACTCCCTCACCGTGATGCTCTCAGGGTACAGGTTGTCGCTGTAGGAGCCGTCGTCGAAGTTGACCTCGTAGAAGGTCTGTGCAGTGGAGCCAATGACCCGGCAGCGGTAGTACAGCCCGTTTCGGTTCTTGGTGATGACCACCTGGCCCAGGGATACGGCGCGGAGCAGCTGCCCCTGCGGGCAGGGAGTGAGGGACAGTGTTGTGGTGGGTGGGGCTGGGAGGTGGCCATGGGGTGGAGCCAAGCGGTGGGCGTGGCCAGGAGGGCTCTGCTATAGCATGTGGCCCTGGTCAGACGGGAGGGGCCTGGTTGGGTGGGCGTGGCTCTGGACTGGGGCGGGACCTGACCATATGGGCGGGTCCTGGCGCACACTCACCGCCGGGCCACCTGCCCTGTGCTTGAGGCAGGTGATGGACACCACATAGGGCCAGTCATCAGGTTCCATGAGGACACCAGCTGCATGTGCACAGGTCACATGGAAGGACGTGGAGCAGTGCTCATAGGAGCACTGGATGCAGGCTCCCGATAACTTTTTCATCCGCTTCCGGCAGTATATGCACTTCTGCAGGAGGGGTGAGGGGATGGGTCACCCCAGCCTGTGCCCAGCCCCAAGACCAGCCCCTCAGCCCTGTACCCTGACTCTGTACCCTGGCCTGCACCCATCCCCAAGACCAGTCTCCCAATCCTACATCCTGGCCTGCACCCCCACTCTGCACCTGTCTCCCACCCATCTGGCAGACTCCAGAACTCTGCAGACACCAGACACGTTGCCACAGGGAGACGCCAGAGGAACATTCCAGAATGGGCAGGCTTAGGGGCAAGGGGCCCTGGCACAACTGCTATGGTCAGGTGTATGAAATTTGGGGCACCTCCTGAACAATGCCACAGTGTCAGTACAGGTAGGTCTCTGCACTGGAAGCCACAGAGGCCGCAGCTGGCAGATGATGGACACCTGAATCTCAGATACTCAGAAACACTGAAGGCGGCTGATGCCTGGGGCCAGGCTTAACCCTCCAGGGCTGGGCTGCCAGGAAGCAGCAGTGAAGGCAGCTGGGCTCTCCAGGTACCACATGAGGGTGGAGGCCACTGCAGGTGATGGGGACCAAGGACAAGCTATGGGGCTGAGGACGCAGCTGCCGAGTGCCAGGACCCACTTGCCCCTGCTGCCAGTGCAGACGGCACGCACCCTGCCAGGTCCCCACAGCCTGGGTCTGAAGAGATAGGTCCTCAGCAGCCCCAGTAGGCAGTAGCCAGGGTCTGGGACCTGGGGGATCCCTGGGGGAGGAAGGGGACAACTGATCTAGCCAAGGCTGCCTACAAGTTCCTGGGTGTGGCCAGCTCCAAGTCCTGGGTCTACCCCTCTCCACTACCCCAGGCTGACTCTAGGCCTGCCACTAAAGCAAGGCAGCAGGGAACAAGCAGGGAAAGCTGGCTCAATCCGCCTGCCTCACGTGATTCACCCACAGTCCCTGTGTGCTGGGCCCTAATGCTCCAAGGTCCCTGCAGCTAGAGTTCTGGGGCGGGAAGGAGTTAAGGCACTTGCTGCCGTGGCTCCCCCAGGCAGCATGCACCTTGTAAAAGGATTTTTGGGTTTTTTTTTTTATGTGTATGAGTGTATTGCCTGCATGTATGTGAGTGCACCTGTGTCATGCAATGCCGCAGAGGTCAGAAGAGGGCTTTGGATTCCCCTGGGACTGGAGTTAAGGCCAGTTCATAGCCGCCACGTGGGTGCTGGGACTCGAACCCGTGACCTCTGCAAGAGCAGTCAGTGCTCTTAACTGCTGAGCATTCTCTCCAGCCCCATAAAAGGATTTTTAATTCATTGTTACAAGTATGAGCCACAGAGAGAGGCTGCAGGCTGGAAATGTCAGGCGTGCATGGTGTCAGGATTTATGGCCTCCCCACACCATCCTCCACCTGGGCAACGATGGTCTCACCAGAGCTGCTGCCACAGAGGAGTTGCCTGCACCTGCCTGTGCTCAGCCAGACTGGCAGCCACCACTTCCACAGGGGTCCCCATGGCCACTCGTGGGCTCCGGGCACATGGTCCTGGTCCCCGACTTGTGATTCCCAGCACCTGCCACTTAGAGACCTAGGTCTATGCTAAGGTCAGCTGCATCCCCACAGGGCTACTCAGTGGCCTCAGCTTGCCACACCCACCTAAAGCCAGTGTCCCAGCCAGCAGGGGCAATGAACCCAGCAGACCAGCTCAGGACTCTACCTGGGCTCCTGGCCTGGCCCCCATATGTCCCCACACCTGCTTACAGGCCCAGACGTGGTCAGCGTCACACCTGAGCAGTGACATTGTCCTGGGATCTAAGCTGAACCCTCTCCGTCCCCCCACCCCTTTGCTGGATGACAGCCCCCCAGCAGACTGCCATGTGTCACCCCCAGGGTAACCCCAAACCCAGGGCATTGGGCACAGGTGGGGGAGACACAGGACCCCTGGGTGGCAGCATGGGTGGGTGGGTGTCCAGAGGAGGGACCATGAGGACAAGCCTGGGAGCAGCCAGGACTTCAGTGACCCTACCACAGCCCGACTCTGTGTACCCTGCTCCTGGCTGGGAAGGGCTGAAGCCCAGAGAGGTCAGGGCATCTGTGTAGGGTCCCCCAGAGGCTGGCAGCCAAACTTTCACCTCTAACCTCTGACATCCCCTCAGTGCCCATGCCTGCTGCAGGGTAGGGGTGTCATTGTGGGAAGTCAGAGGGAGATGCTTATGGAGGAGCCTCAGCACCCACTGAGGCACAGTACCTTCTGTTCAACAAGGACACCAGGTGACGGAACCCGTCTCCTGTCTCCCAGTCAACAGGAATCTGGATAGATTTCTGGGACACAGTCACCAGGGAGCCACACAGGCCAAAGGTCATCCTGCACTGAGGGCAGTTGGGTGCTTGAAGAAGGGCCACAGTGAGGGAGGAAATAGTCACACGAGGTTCCTCTGAGAATTCCAGAATGGTACATGACGGCCCCCACGCCCGTGACAGCACACATCCAAACCCAGGATGACAGACTGGTGCCCTCAGGGACCCGAGCATGAAGGACTTGGGGACCCACCAGCTTCCACCGCTGCTCAGGGATGGCGCTGATGTCCACTGGGTTGCGCTCGATCACATTCAAGAACCGCACCTCGGGGACTGCGATGGCGCAGATGACATGAATCCACCTGGGGGGGGTGTCACAGGCTGTCCCCAAGGGGCAGTCAAGCAGGGGAGGAGGGGATGTGTATGTAAATGGCTGGAGGGTCCCTGAGAGACAGGTGCCACACTGCTCCCCACCTCACTGGTCACCTTGTCCCGGGGGGTGGCTGTCCAGTGACAAAAAGGGTGACAGGAGGGGGACATGGCGGCTGCTAGGCCTGTGGAGGGACACACACACACCTCTGCTCTGTGGTCCTCTGCAGTGCTCCGCCCCGCAGGTTACACAAACAGCATTCCTGCGGGCAGAGAGGCAGTAAGGGCGTGGCCAGGCCCACTGTGCACCACCCCCAACCCAGGAATGTTCCAGGGACAGCAAGGTGTCAGGTCCCAGCCTCAGTACACAGGGAGGACAGAGGCCCAGTGCCACCCAGGCTTTCATGGTGAGTTACCGCAGTCCAGGCGTGGGCTGTGCACCGGGAACACGTCCAGCCGTCCTTGGCCAGCTCAGGGCGGACACCGTAGCAACCTGTCAGGCAGTGGGGCTGAGACCAGGGCCGCTGCCGTCACGGGTCACCCTCACCCTCTGCGGCCATACAGGGCGGGGTCTGTGCATGGCTATGGGCAGCATGTTGATTGGGCTGCCCAGCACAAGCCCAGGGACAGCACTTCCTACGTCTGCACACCGAGAGCTCCCTCCTGTCCCTGAGCTCCCCCCACACACCTGAGTAGCCTGCAGAGCGGGCCAGTTCTGAGCCCCACCCCCATATTTCTGGGGATCCCAGTGTTACAGATCTGAGGTCACTTCCTGGTGCACCGGCTCTGTGGGAGTGTCCCCAGGCAGCCAGGGTGACACATGTGGCCCTCTGCCTAGAGCCCCATGGCAGAAAGCACTGAAACAGAGCGGGTCCTCTAAGGGACACAGAATGAGCTTCCCCACATAAGGGCTGGACACAGCACCCCTGGAATAGCAACTGCCAAGCCTGTGGCCACCCCAGGGTGCTGTGCCCGCACAGTCCTGGCATGGAGGAGGCCACACCCCAGGCTTGTCTGGTGTGGCGTGAAGAAGCCTGTCTGTGGCCCCCGTGGTGGCCTTGCACCTCGGAAAGCAGGTCACCTGTCTCCCACCCTACAGCTCCACAGTGAGAAGAAGGAGAAAAGAGGAGACAGGCCTGCAGAGGCCACAGACATCGAGCGGACACTCACTGGCATGGACCTGCAGGCAGCACTTGGCACAGGAGATGAGCAGGCTGGTACCGTCATCACCTACACCAGAGTTGGCGGGCAGTGGCTCTGTGTTCTCCCCACTCGAGGTAAAGCACAGCTCAGGTATCAGTGGCCGCGTCCTCTGGCCACTTTTGGAGGGTGGCGGGATGGCACTGTCCCCAGGAGTGGCCAGGGCCTCTTGCTCCGTCCGCACCGACTGCAGAGACACGGCTGTCAGGGAGGCCACTGTGTGACAGGCCTGGGGACTCCCATGTCCACAGCAGAGCTGGGAATGGGGCACCCAGTAGGGAGCGGGGACCAAGAGGAGGGAGATGGGGAGGCGGGCAACTGGCCTGGTTGAAGGGGTAGAAGAGGGTGCAGACAGCACAGTAGGGCTCCCTGAGCGCGGCCACTGCGTTGAACTTCCTTTCGGCCTGGAAGCTGGCAGCCGTGTTCCCCCACTGCAGCGACAGCAAGGACCGTGCAGTCTCAGGGTCACTCACGTCCTCCTCTCCTGAGAAGGGGAAGGCTTCTACAGCAGGAAGGGAGGGAGGGCTTGAGTGCTGGGGTCCCCTCTGCAGCCCCCAGTCTGGGGCCAAGGGGGCCGTCCACACATCATCCCCAGAGACCCCACAACTGAGTGAAGTCTGGGCCCTGTCACCTGCCAAAAGACACTGTGGGTGTGGGTGTATGGGTCACCAGCCCAAGGAACCTTCTGGAGAGAGTTGGGGGTGGAGTGGGGCAGAGGCCCTGTGAGCAGCAGTGGGTCCCAGAGTGGGTGTGCAGGGACAGCTGGACCCTGCAGATATGAGGGTTGAGGGTGCTGCTGATGACAGGGCGGGAAGGAGGTCTACATCCAGGGACTGGATGATGGGATACTGTGACCCATGGACAGGCTACTGGACAGAAGAGGGGCTGCCTAACTATGCCAGTGAGGGCGGGAGTTGCAGGATGACCTGATGCTGCTTACCCTCGTCGCTGGAGACCTCCTGCTTAACCACAGACAGCGGGGACCGTGTAGGCGGCCGGCCCAGTGGGTGGCGCCGACTCTTCTTGATCTCCATCTTTAACTTGGAAAAGGTAGATGAGACCTGAAATGTGCATCATGAAAGCTGGACTCCTGAGGCTCCTGATGCACCACACACACACACACACACACACACACACACACACACACACACACACACACACACCATGGCTGCTGCCGCCACCCTGAGAGCTCCATCACCCAGCAAGGGCCTCTAGACTTCACAGACACAGCTTTGCAGACAGAGCCACACAGGGGCCTAAGGTCATGAGTCACCCACCTGCGCCTTGCTGGCTCGGGCTTGCACTTCCTCTTCAGGCCCCAGCTCCATGGGTGCCACCTGTGGGTGGACTGCTTGGTCCCTGTGCCCCTCAGTGGTGCCAGTGCGGGGCAGCACATACAGCATGGGGATGATGGGCCGGGGCCGTGCCTCGGGCTCCTCACTTGGCCCCCCGGGAGGCACCACATTGATGGGTGCTGGTGGGGGACCGTCCTCTGTGGCTGAGGAGCCTAGTGTAGGTACTGGAGACTCAGGTGGGGGGGGCGGCCTCAGGGTGTTCTCGATGGGGAACAAGGCTGGAGGCTGGGTCAAGAGAGGACCCGGAACCCTCTTCCTGCTCTTGGTCTTGGGCCGTGCCTTGGCCCTGCCGTCCTCTACAAGGAGAGAGAATGCCCATCAGACACCCACGGAACCAGTTGGAAGCGAGGGTCAGACCTATGGGTCTCAGGCGGGCACAGTAGGCAGGCAGACCTTGGGCAGCTCAGCCTCTTGAAGGCCCCTGGGGGGCGCGCACGCGCGCACGCGCGCACACACACACACACACACACACACACACACACACACACACACACCTTTCTGTGTTGGGTGTGAGGCACACACCTGTCACCTAGGTGGAGGAAGAGAAGTTGTGGGCCAACCTAGGCTACAAAAGATCCTGTCTCAAAAGCCAAAAGAAGGGGTGGGGTCTGGAGAGATGCTCACTAGTTCAGAGCACTGGTTGCTCTTGCAGAGGACCTAGGTTCAGTTCCCAGCACTCACGGGGTGGGTAACAACTATCTGTAACTCCAGTTCCAGGGGATCTGATGCCCTCTTCTGGCCTCCATGGGCATTGCATGACATGGGTGCACTTACATGTAGGCAAAATACTCATACAGAGAAAATAAACCAATAAATAAAATATATTTTTTAAAAAAGACTTCTGGGGGCTGGAGAGATAGCTCAGCAGTTAAGAGCACTGACTGCTCTTGCCTAGTTCAGAGCACTGGTTGCTCTTGCAGAGGACCTAGGTTCAGTTCCCAGCACTCACGGGGTGGGTAACAACTATCTGTAACTCCAGTTCCAGGGGATCTGATGCCCTCTTCTGGCCTCCATGGGCATTGCATGACATGGGTGCACTTACATGTAGGCAAAATACTCATACAGAGAAAATAAACCAATAAATAAAATATATTTTTTAAAAAAGACTTCTGTTCCAGGCATGGTGGTACATGCTTTTAGTCCCAGCACTAGGAAGGCAGAGGCAGGTGGATCTCTATGAGTTCAAGGCCAACCTGGTCTACATA